ACTGATTGGCAGAATTCCTATTTAGAAGATTACGGAACCTACGCGGACGACGATGCTTTTTCCTGCGAGTTTTCGTAATTAGCTACATAGCACTAGAAGGCGTGGTCGTAGGATTTGCGCAAAATAGTAGTGAAAATGGGCTAGATTTGTTTGGTGGAATCACTAAATTTATCACATCTCAAAATGAAATACATCATTTATAATTATTTTTACTTTCAAACCATGAGATAATTATTTGCTTTGGCGGACTTTGTAGATTGAAGAGTTGGTTGGTAATAGCTATCTGTGGACTGCAGCCCCCTATTCTACCAGCGTTCGGAGATGAAGTTACCTAGGCTGCTTAAACAGGAGGTAGTGGCTACACTACACATTGTGATCAGCGGAGATTTGACATATCCGCATGCTGGTTGGAGCACGCTGGAAGCACAGTGTATGCTATGGAACGAGAACTAGGGAAACGGGAACAGGAAGATTCGTTTTCCTGGCACGCTAGCTTTCTGAGAAGAAAACGTTTTGTTTTTATCCTTCCTCATTGCAACCAAATGTGCACTTGTCGAGAATACAAGCTAACGCTCTATAGCTTTGTCAGGCTGCCACGTTGGTACAGGCGCAAGCCACGTTGTAAAATAGGTGGAGTTCATTTAATGGTAGGATTGCTTAATTACTAGGTACGTTTGCTTTATTACGTGATTAACAAACACGTGATTCCCTAAAACTAAGTAAAATGATTGCTCGAACAACAGAGGCACAACAACTTTGAAAACGTTTAGAGTCTGCAGGGCTCAGACATTATCCGCCGCACAAAAAACATTTGATTTTGATAGTGAAGTTGCAAAGAAAACGAAAATAGCTGTGAGTTTAAATTTGCTTAGAGTGAAGAAGCAATGCCGAAGATGTGTTACAGTTTTGTTCACTGGGATTTTCTGATAGCGAGAGAAATGATAATCAAAAGAGCGTGGACGCAAATGTTGCTAGAGAGGACGCGGAGAAGGAGGATAGCCTTATTGCGTACGTGTTATGTAAACATGCATTCTGCACTATCCACTCCCAGCCACAAGAATTCTACTGGTTATAAGCGCACATTTCCATTGGCACAGAGCACGAGCCTTACTCAATGTCTCTGACGAGCTGGCAACTGTCAGATTGGCAACTGTCAACTCATGGCTATGCTCAAGTAGGGTTAACGGACTTTGTGCGAAAATCATCGAGGCATTTGCCTTGTTTCACTTGCCTCCAACCGTCTTACAGATATCATTCCCAGAGGTATTACTGGTCTCTGTGAGAATCGGTTCACTGGAGGCCAGGCTTGCTTCCACCCTGATCGTGGTTGTATCTATCACCAATTTGCTGTTGGCCAGGTAGTATATCATACCCACATGCAGACGACCGACAACGATGGTTTTCTTGACTCGAAAGCTCCCTTCGACTCTGTTGCCCGCTCAAGGTTATGACAGTACTTATCCATGAAAGGTGTCTGTACAATGACTCCCGAGGCCGTATAAGGGTCTACGAGAACCATCTCCTGAGCTCGCCACGACAAGGGGAGTTCGACAGGGTTTTCCTGGATGGTCTTTCCTCTTCAAGTTTATAATTGAAATACTCATTAACGCTTCCGTTCTCTCAGATTCTGCCGGAGTGGAAGTTCTGCTAGATGACCGACTAACAAACCTGGAGTATGCGGACGACATAGCTCCTCTTGGATCTGACACAGTAACTATGCAAACACTGCTGGATAGACTGACACATAGTGCTGCATGCTTCGGCATGTGCTTTGCACTTTCAAAACGCAAAGTGCTGCTGCAGGATTAGTTCCACCTATCACCCAACAGCCACTGGAGGTAGTGGATCGGTTCATTTATCTCGGTAACTGTGTCACCTCAGGTGGCCAGATGGTTAAATAACTTTGCGTATTAGCAATGCATGTGTGGCTTTCCAGTGACTTAGCCGTCTATGGAGAGGACAAGATATTCGGCTGTCAGTGAAAGTTAGGGTGAATAACGCTGCGATAAGACCGGCTTTACTGTATGAATCGTAGTCCTAGCCAGTTCGAGCTGTGAACCTTAAACGCATGGCCGTGTTTGACCACCGGTGATTGCGGAGTAATTTTCAGGTTTGGTGGAAACACGGATGAGCAATTTTAGGTTCCGCAAATTGATTTTTGGCGAAAGGCCTTCTGGTGCTATATTGGAATGTTTGCTGAATATTAGTCGCTTGCGTTGGCTTGGTAGTGTACTCCGTTCATTATGCGCCGTCGCTGCACCAAGTTAGGAGAATCCATGAGGTGTCCCCTCCATGACGTGGGATCGAGGCTTGAAGAAAGTAGCTGATGCGTGTCGTCTTCGTAGATGGGGTCCTCGGGGACAGTCACCACTAACAATCGGAGACCGCATTAGATGTGGCGCAGCCACGAAGTCAGCGGTGTTCATGCACTTGGTTTCTTGCATCTGGTTGCCTAATTAGTTTGCTGAACTTCCTCCTTGCTTCTATATTTTGCCTTTTATTTGATTAAATCCCCACTATTTTGCCGTTGCTGCTTGTTGTTCTTCTTGCGTGTAAGTCGTGACAACTGTATCCACTACATTTTGGTGTTTGGATCATAGTACTTCGACTGAAATGAACTTAATATCTTCAACTGGCATTAAAGTGTCAGCTTCCCCAATAACAACATAATCCTTCCACGATGTCACATACTACCAAGAGTCAACCGGATTTGACACTATGCTTCCTGATAATAGCGAATTACTAGCTGAATTACATTGTATCTTGCCTTGACTCTGTTCAACTTTTAAATTCGGGAAGATAGACGACGCCAGAACAGAAGGCAATTACAGATAAGAAATTCAATTTGAAGTACACGTTGCGTGGATGGATTGCGACGCGCGCCCTCAAAGTGGACCGCGATTCTTACTTTGAGATCGCGTGGCAATCCATCCACACAACGTGTACTTTAAATTGACTTTCCAACCTGTCATTAATCGTTGTGCCAAGCTTTGCGCCTCGTGACCCGGTGGCTTAGGGGTACCGGTCACAACTAACTTCCCAATGGTTCCGGATTCAATGCTTGCTAACTCTATCTGATGAGATGTAATAACATGGAAATGCGCCATAGTAGTGCAGTGTTTTCAGGCGGGCAACACCGAATTTGCTGCTGCTTCAGAAGCCTCTTACCTTAGCAAAAAGCTCCAATACTGTGCGCGTTAACTAAACGCCTATCAATCTGAAACACCATGTTTATTAAAGACTAGATGTGTAGAATCATACTGAATAATAACCTAACAATAGTGGATACGTCAAAAGTTATTCCAACTAATCCTTTTTCATGTAAACGCTCCCATGGATAAAGGTATTCAAAAAGTTGTTTGCTAGAACTTAGCAAAGATGTGAACTCGACAAACCATCTTCCTTTTTATTAAACCTGATATGCGATAATGCTCAAAACAGTGCCGATAATCTAGGTTTCCTATACTCATGATACCTGCTGTTGGAGTGAGGTGGTAAGCGCGATGCAGACAAAACTAACGCTTAGTTAATGAAGCGCTAGTCTGGCCAGACCATTTAATACGTCATTGTGTTCACTTGCATATGCATATTTGCACTGTAGACTTGAAAATAGACACCATGCCTAGTCACGTGACAGGTGCCAACAAGGCAGACGTGTTCCTTTTACCATTTTCAGTAGACACAATCGAGCAGTTCGTTACCTTGAACACAAAGGTTGCAAGCCGAAACAATGGGAAAATTGCAGTATGGAAATTATTAAAGCACTCTCAGCTTTTCTACTCTGCACAGTTTGATGTCAAGCTGCTTTCGGACTTCGTGCATAACATTCTTCTGGCGTTCATGATGAAAGTGCTGACACACTAGGCTAAATGAGATTGCGTACGTATAAATCAACACATTCCTAACACGCAGTTGACCGATGCCCTTATTGATGAGCCATGTGATTGGAAGAAGCAATATCCCTTACGGATGCAGCAACGTGCAAGTGTTGCACTGAAGGCACCCAATGTATGATAGTCAAGCAACTTCGACGCTGGATGCATTGAGTCGACGATTCCGAGAAATCCCACACAAGCTCACAATTGCAAATTTTGGTGATTGCCAAATGTGTTAAACGTTCATGTTTTATTACACACAAAATTTGCCTATATTTTTAATAAGAGTGCAAAATGACGTGTAAGGAGTATAAATTGCGGCGGAACGTATAGTTGGTGATGCGGAAATTTTTCTGAGCGCCTAACATATGTGACAGCGGGAACCTTTGCCAGCATCTATCGGTGGTCGTGCCGGCAGAGCAGCTAAATATCACTGACAAAAAGTATACTTACGCTTACTCGGGTGTAGCTTGAATTTCCTTCATGAAAGCATTATTTCTAGTTTTATTTATTTCCTATATATTGCGTTTCCTCGCTACCATCACCTGGTCATGTCAGTCTGACGGATATCTTACATCTAGCCTGCGTCTATGGCGATATTGCGAAATCTCCCGTCAATTAATAGCTTTAATTCGAACTCTCACGTGGCAACAATACTACGTAACATTTGCGGCAAAAGTGTACTCCAGAACTAGTTTTATTGTGTATCTTTTCCTATATTTTCTTTTAATATACTTTCACATTCGTCGGTGCTACATCAGTCTACACGCATTAAATTTAGATTTTCGCTCAACCGCACATCAAGCCCTACCTTATTTTGCGACGTCATTTAACTTTTCAATTGTCTCAAATATTTAGTGATCAATTCGAATTAGCGCAAACTAAAGAACAGTTAGGGCAGTTTATTCATTAATTTGGGTGATCCAACTAGATTGTCAGCTTTATGCTTCGGACAACACTGAACTCTTCAATTCATGATTTATTTTCGAAAATTAGAAAGTAAATCACTGATGAAGCATTTATTACATCAATGTTATCACATGCTATTTTTTTACGTCATCATCAGGGTGGACGCTGGTGCGTTTTAAAATGTTAAGCGACGGCTAAGAAAAATTGCGGTACAAGCTATTTTTCGGGAATATCCTTCTTTTGCATAATCAACGCTACGTTGCAAAAACAAGAAGCTGGATCTTTTTCATTGAGCTGCTTCATCAGTTGGGACATCACGTTCAACACACCATCATTGGATGCAGTTGTCATAATGCGTACACGTTTTGGACGTGTCGCATCGTCAGGATGACATTCCGAGATTTCTATGGTTGTTCCTCTTTTTATCTATGAAATGGAGAGCACAGATTTTACAGTTAAATGTGCCCGACTCTATTACGTAGTCAGTGGTCAGGAAATTACTGTGAGATGTGCGATGGATAAATTTGGATTGAGTGCTCATATCTGTCGCTTACCGTGTCACAAATAGCCTTCGGATCGGTTTCTTTTAGGAACCTCTTTTCTAAGACTATTTCGAAGGCTGAAAGTAGACAAAAGTTTGTTTTACATCTTATTACTAATGTATTACATGTGCTAAATACCTTCACACACAGTATCCCTACAATTAACGAAACAAATATTTCACGCATGACAGGATCACCAGTGTTGACTTACGCATATGTTAGATAAACACTAACCATAACCAAAATATTGCACAGAGCCTGCGTCGATAGACAAGTGCAAGAAGGAAAATTAACCCCACCAACTTAACCATTAACCTTGGACGAAAGCAGTTGTTATTTGCAAAGAGAAATTCGAGGTAAACAAAGCGCTAAGAACGCGTCTATTGTATTATTTCCTACTCGAAAGCTGACAGATGATAATCTTCTGCACTGGCAATTTTGATGTGGGTCTCAAAACCTTCGTCCTTGAACAGTGACATCTAAATTTAATAACTTGGTATGTGAAAACCTAGTGGATTCCTTAAAATAACTGGCGACATCCGCCAAGAGGGATATGAGACAATGAGGAAAACTTCCAAGATGTCGATAGGCGATGCAATAACGCTGCAAAGATTAGTAAACTTCAGGCCGCAACGAACATTCAGAAATAAGGTGGGTCTAGTGATTAAAATGGTGGGACACTATGGACAAGGCGATTTGAATCAGTGAGTGTTTTGGATGCAGAATGTTGACAAGTATTGGTTGAAGTGGATAAAACTAGTCTAACTGAGGCCAACATTGGAATACCGTAAATCCTAAGTTAAATATCTAGGTGAACAAGTTCGTCCCTCAAGAGCATTGGTTCGTAGCAAACGTAACAACGTTGAAGACCGAATCTCCTCTCAAGACCTCAAGCGGAATCGCGTAAGGTCAATGCATTTTTCGATCAGCCCCACACGCAAGAGACATTTGTGGTCAAACCAAACCAAGTAGCGACATTCAATCAGATCAGGTTTTACTATTGGCACTTGACCATTTCATATATTGTCAATTCGCTCTTGCTTTTATGTATCGGCATTCATATTTCGTTAATGGGCCAAGGGTCAATTTGCTTAATTAAGCCTTGCTTATCATTCTACGTTAAAATCTCATTTCGCTAATCGTTTTAAATAAACAAGACTAGATTCGCCGTCACTGCCTGAGATGAAGGGTCTGATTTTCATGAGTATCTCTCTGGGTCGACATCGCGTGTGAAGTCTTTGCTCGGTGACGGAGCACCTTTCAACGGTAGCCTAGAACGGTGTCGTGCCCAAGTCTCCTGGGTTGTACGTAATCAAATGCGGTCAGCTGCTTTCCGTATGCGATAACCTTCTGGCTCACATTCGTTCATCCCACTAGGAGAGTCGTACCAATCCGTTAGACACACGGTACGACTGAGAACGATGCTATAACGAATCGCGACCGAGACATAATAGTTCTGTACGGCATGTTCGACCATTTTGTTAGGCAAGTTTGCAAGCAACCTAATATAAAATGCGACCGGTTAGTAGCAACAGGTGAACTACAAATGTAGGCTATGGTGACTTTACCTGTAGCAAGTTTACATCAGAACAGCGTAGCTTCATCCAAGAAATACAATGATGAGCAATTTGCTTCACAAAAACTTGCCTGGTAAGATCCCCACTGCTGTTATGTTACAAAAGTTTGGAAGAACGCCGAGCAGAAACAGACTGGGGCTGTGATAGACAAGCGGTACACAGGACCAACATGATCAAGCACCAAATGAAACTTAAGATCGAACAAATTCCTCCGTTGTTAACGAGTTTTATCCTTAATAAAGGATGAGGTAGCTGAAAAGAATTCTTCTGCATACGCAACTCAAGGCTTTCTGGTCAAGCTCAATTCCCCCGAGAACTCAGTTTTCTATGCAGAGCTTGCTGCCGTTTTTATTCGGGACGCCATCCCTCAGATCTCTGGTTGAAAAACACCGTCAACGCGAACAGAGAGACCAACAATGGACTATGACCACTTGATGTAAAGCTAGTACCAAATATCACCAGACCACGCAGCACTACAAGAGCGGGATCCGACAATAACGCCCTGAATGTAGTGTGCACAAATAACCCCGAATCTAATGCCATCACCTTGCGGAGTATCTGTTCTAATGACCCAGATCAGTAGAAATCATTGTGCATGTGATAGGAATTAGCGAGAAAACAGCATTAATTCTAGGCCCACCTCTAGCTTACCCACCTCGATAGCTCCAATCTATGACGCAAAGTTAGTCAAGGTCCAGATTTAGGTTTCTATGAAGGTCAAAGCCAAACCCGCAAATCTAGTGCGAGGTACTCGTCACCTGAACTCGGCAGCTTATCGCAAACGCAGACTTATTAGAGTAACACTTGAATCCACCACTGATGTAAAAAGTGTTTTGCTCTCTGCAAGTGCGCTACAGCACTAATCACGTGGGATACACAGCTATCCTGACCTCCATAGAAAAGCGCGCAAATTATGAAGAGACATCTCGGAAGGACAGAAAGCAGGATCGGTTAGACACAATTTTCATCAATTAAATGCCAGAGCTTCCTTCTAACGAAAACCGTGAGACCAGAAGACACGATTTGGAGCAGTGGCCTTTTATATGAAAAACGATTTGTTTGGATAATGCCGCTGCTAGATGTCCAAAAAGTTTGCCAACCTCATCAGATTATAACGGATGTGGCCAAAGAATTACAAAACTTTTGGTATTGTTAGAGCAAACAGCTGTGAAAGTTTAAAGCAGTTAGTTCCCTCCAACAATTTGGCAAGCACAAAAAGAAGACGAAGGCCGGTAGATGCATGCATTTCGTCTTGTCTCCTTAGTACCATTAACAATAACCGATGTGCAGAGGTATAGTAAACAGTGGGTGCAACCAGACAAGCTTAAGGTGCAAAACGGATGACGGATGTTCCCACCTACGTCCAAGGCAAATTTTGGCTGACAAATAATTTTTTATGAACACACAAGACTGGTTTAATCCGGCTTATAGCGACAGCCTCATCACACCGAAGGAAGTGGTGATTAATGTGACGTAAAACAACTTTAAACGCTGAGCCCAGCTCTCTCCGGTGACCCGTGTCTAACAGGCGTTTGCCCATCGGGGAAGCCGGCGGTCTGCGCAAACAAAGCATCTGACGAGGGTAGGCAATCTGAGCAACTTCACGTTGAACCCATTTTGGTACATATTCCTTTATTCGGGAAGTCAGCGTTCTGTTTCTGCAAACACGTACAAATTGGTATACACAGCGTGAGTTGGCTCCAATAAGCTGAGCATCCTTCGTTGGACGTATGTGTTCAGAAACAATTATTTGTCAGCCTAAAGCTGCCTTGAACGTAGGTGTGAACATCTGTCATTCGTTTTGCACCTTAAACTTGTCTGGTTGCACCCAATGTTAGCTACATCTATGCATATTGGTTATTGTTAATGGTACTGAGGAGACAATACGAAATGCATGCATCTACCAGCCTTTGTCTACTTTCCTTGCTTTTCAACCTGCAGTCGTGTTAGAAGGTTGACAAATAAATCGACAGAATCTTTCATCTGAACTTCGGTCACAAGCTGTAGAATAACAGCGTACCTCCCATTGGTCGGTATTCGCGACTCGTTTAGCCCATTGTGGGCACCGAGAGACGGAGAACCTATACCGCCTTTATATTAGATATCTAGATAAGCTGACCGGACTAAAAGATCGCCAAGTTTCTGAGCCATGAGAAATAATAGGTTTCACGGAGACATAGTTAAACGATGGAATGACGGAACGTGAAGTCGCGCAACCGGGAATCTCAGTCATTCGTAACAATGGGCTTACAAAGAGAGGAAGGACGATACGTACTACCGAAACAACCTACAGTGGGAGGCATTAGGGGATCCAGACTCGCAACTCCCCATTTCTCTCTTTCGTGTCGCTTACAAGTGAAAGCAAAGACACTTACCTGGTGGCGTTGTTTCACAGTTCCACAAACTCTACACCCGTCATTTCGCTCACTCCTTTCAGAGCAGGCAGCAAACTATCTTTTGGATATTACAATCAGCAACGAGAAACCTATGATTTGTCTGTAGCCAATTGGGTCGCATTGACAAATTTCAACTTGATAGCCTGTGCGGAATATCTTCACGAGAACTCCGTGATGATGCGCACCATTTTACGCTACGACCGCTCGGGCCAGTGTTTTAGTGCTACAACTTGGCCATTAATCACAGACGACCCAACGAAAAGCAGCCGGCCCTAGTTATTCTGCACATTCAATTAAATGGTTTCGGATGTTTCAGAGATCAGGGTTTGCCAAGGACCTAAAGCCGTTTCTTACGTAAAAAGCAGAAGTTGAAAATGTATGTATGTACGCATAGCAGCCTAGATCATCCCCAATGCCAGATAGTTGGAACGACTAAGTTGCACAAAATAACCACTGCACTCAAATACTCAGAGGTGACGGAGCCACATATCAGCAGAATAGGACGAAAATATTAGCACAGTCTACCAACTGCTTTCCGAGCATGTCGATGGCCGTCGTAAGGTGAGACAGAGTCCTGCACCACTCCTGACGACAGATAGTCCAGCAACAAAGGTAATAGAAGCAGTCAAAACGTTGCAAAAATATGATGCTCTCACATTTCGGAGTGATGTACAGTGAAGCTATTTTCCGGCATTTGTTACCTCACCGATAATACCATACTAATCTCCGACTTCTGCTCTTATATATTGCAGAAGCTGACAGCTGTGAAGAACAGCAGCTCGCCTGGTTGGTTGTTTCATCTTTCTAAAGGAAAATGTGCAATGCTGAATTAGGCAGTTGAACCACTGGTGTTGATTCAACTATCCCGCCCCCGTGAACGGTAACCATAAGTAGAGCAGTTTTCTTCCTACTGAATCCATTTTTGCTTTCGTTGCTCGGACCTCCATTTTCCTCCGGACAGCCATTTCTAACTAATAGCCCTCGTACAAAGTTTAACTCGTCCGAAAACATATCCTACCTACATATCCTTCTTGCTCGCTCGGTTAGGCACCGAACAAGTTTTTGCTTCTGGCTGAGTAAAACAAAGCTGAAAAAATGAGTATA